ATTTAAAAACCAATTTTCCAAATTGTGTAGGGGCAGTCGATGGTAAAAACATTCGATGTATTAAACCTATTAATTCTGGAACAATATTCTTTAATTATAAAAAATATTTTTCCATTGTATTAATGGCTGTAGTAGATGCAGAGTATAGTTTTATTTCAATCGATGTCGGTTCATATGGTAAGGAGAGTGATTCCACAATTTTCAAAAACTGTCCATTCGGAAAAAAATTATACGCCGGACTATTAAATCTACCAGCGCCTGTTGTTCTTCCAAATACAGATAATTTTCCGCAGCCTTTCGTGGTAATTGGAGATGAAGCTTTCGGACTACACAAAAACCTTTTAAGACCATACCCCGGACGAGGTCTCACCCAAAAAAGAAAAATTTTTAACTACCGTTTATCAAGAGCTCGAAGATACGTAGAATGCGCTTTCGGAATACTCGCAAATAAATGGCGTGTTCTACACACTGCTCTCCTAGTTGAACCAGATTTTGCAGACGATATAACAAAAGCATGCTGTATTTTACACAATTATGTTAGACGGAGGGACGGTTATAACTTCGAAGATACCCTATCAAACTATTTGGAAGACATCGAAAATGAAAATAATTCTGGAGCTCGTCAACAAGGCATAGATGTTCGAGAATATTTTGCTGAATATTTTATGGGAGCAGGAGCAGTTCCATTTCAATATCGATATATATAGTTTATTTTGTATATATACTTAAATATATCTACTTTAAATATAAAATAAGTCGTTTGTTAATACACGTTAAACACCAGTATCAACATATTGTTTACATGTAGCAACCGGTTCGTACTTGCCCTTTATACATTTGTACCTATATTATAGCCGTATTGCGTACACATTACAATTTCTTAAATTTGTGCCAGCAATTCATAAAATTTTCCTACATTGATACTATAATATAATATTTTATTTTAATTATATTAAAATTAGGTATTTTTCTTTTTTTCTTTATAAATATAATACTATTATTCAGGGCCGGGCCGAGAGCCTGGCAAGGTGGGCGCTTGCCAGGGGCGCAAAATATCGAGTAGAAATGGGGGCGCAAAATTTGATATCATCAAATTAGAATTTTAAAATCCAAACCAAAATATTTTAATGTGTTAATATCTATAGATATGTTGGTTGCGAGTTTGCGACCTGATTAATACTGCGATAATTGTGTTGTAAATATAAATTTATATTTTTATGATTAAACAACACATTTATTATTGAAAAAAAAATAGTTTTAATTTACGACGATCGACGATAACTGTTACCGAATGATATCGTATAAGGAATATAGTTTATTTGTAATAATGTATATATTTCTACATATTGTATTGAAATCAGTAAGAAATATTAATACGTTTCCCGACAATAATAAAAATAGAACAACTATGATAATATTATGTGTATCTATGTGAAATGGTAATCAGTTTTAAATTGACCAAACTAATATTATTAAAGACTAAAATAAACTATACACAACAATACACACACACTGTAACGTAAATAATCTTATTATTATAATACGTATACGATTACGATTATTCTGTTATTTTAATATCGACAGTCGATTGAGCGAGTTATACTAATCTACGCTCTAAAGCAGTGAAGTCTAAAAAAGAACAAGGTAAATATTTTTAATATCTAATAGAATATATTGAAAATTTAACGATTCTGAATAATTTTTAGCATTAAAAAATTGATCATTTTTCTTGTTAGATTTTATTATTTTATTTTTATTTATGCACAATTGCTCAAATTTGTATACTTTAAATTTAAGAACATAAATAATATAATTACACATTTTATTGATTTATTAGTAAAACAAATATACAAAATTACAAACTAATAGTTGAGTTCTTGAGTTTAAATAGAAAATATAAAACTGACATAGGTAGTATTTAATTATTTAATTTTATTAGTTGAGCTATTGTCGTATTGACTGTTTTTATTATTTTATTATTATTTTAACATTAGGTTACCTATTAAATATGCCCCCCACAAAAAAAAAGCCTTCTGGAGCGTGGTTTGAGAAAAAAAGGCAAGAAAGAGAGAAAAACAATATCAAATCATCCGTAATGTTAAGTAGCTGGATAAATAAAAACACCGAACAAAAAAAAGACAATGCACCGTCAACTAGTTTATTAATTCACAATGTTGAAAAAGACGAACATTTAAATGAAAATTTGAAAAGTATTGAAATTGAAAGTTTAATTGATGACTGTTTTAATTTAACTGAAGATAGTACACAGAATAATGATAATATTGATAATAATGAACCTATAACTAACCAAGAAGATAATGAACTTGACATAAATTTTAATGATCCTGGATGTTGGCCGACTATGACTTCTAGATTTAGAGATTTCATTGTCGAAAGAGGACCATATCTTAGGGATCAAAATAATTATTTTCCAGTAAATGATGATGGCAGACATTTTGACGGTAAATGGTTTTATAAATTTTTAAATAACGGAGAAAAAGTTCGAAGACAATGGTTATTATACAGTACATCAAAAAATGCCATTTTTTGTTTTGCGTGTCTCCTTTTTTCAAATAATGATATCAGGAAGTCTGCGTTTTCTAATAATGGATTTCAAGATTGGAAAAATTTAAATCCTTCTGTTTCTGAGCATGAGAATAGTAAGAATCACAGACAAAATTTTTTGGACTGGAAGGAGTTAGAAAAGAGATTACGAGACAGTAAAACAATTGACCATGAACTTCAAAATTCTATCAAAAATGAAAAAGAAAAATGGTTTTGTATTCTTAAAGTTATCGTTGACGGAATTTTGTTTTGTGCTAAAAATAATCTGGCATTAAGAGGTTCATCAGACAAAATAGGAGAAACAAATTGTGGTATTTTTTTTGAGCCTAATGGAAGTAATAAGTCATTATAACCCAATCTTATTAGCTCACATAAAACATATTACAGATAGTAATAAACCAACTATTAGTTATTTTTCTCATAAAATTCAAAATGAAATAATCTGTATAATGGGTCAACAAGTACGACAAACTATACTTAAACAAATCAAAAAATCAAAATACTTCTCAATTCTTTTCGATTGTACTCCCGATAAATCTCACCAGGAACAAATGTCACAAACAATCAGGTATGTCGACATTTCTAATGGAGAAATTATGATTAAAGAATCATTTATTGATTTTATATGTACTGACGAAAAATCAGGATTAGGGCTTTCTAATGAAATATTAAATACTATAAGAAATAATGGATTGTAGAGGACAGTGCTATGACAATGGCGCAAATATGGCTGGAAATAATAATGGTGTACAATCACATATTTTACGTGTAAATGAACTAGCAACATTTTTACCATGCTCAGCTCATAGCCTAAACCTAGTTGGTGTTCATGCTGCAGAAGTTTCACCCATGATGATAACATTTTTTGGTTTAATTCAAAACATATATTCATTTTTTTCTGGCTCGACAAGTAGATGGGAACTCTTAATGAAAACTATGAAAATTACTTTAAAATCTCATTATGACACACGTTGGAGTACAAAAAAACAAGCTGTGAATGCTCTAAAATTAAATTTTAAACACGTTTTTGATATATTAAATCTTATGGCGACAAACTCGAAAGATTTTAATAAAAACACATCAGCATCTGCTCAACATATTCTAAAACAAATAAATTTTAAGTTTTTATGCCTACTTCATTTTTGGGATTCTATACTAGGACAGATTGACAAAGTAAATTTATCTTTACAAAATCAAAATCAATCTATTGACGTGGCTACAAAAAGTTTAGAAGGCTTAATTGAATGTATTCAAAATATACGAGACAGTGGTTTTGAAAATGCATTGAATGAAGCTAAAAAAAATGCTCTTTTAATAAACATACCCACTGATTTTCCAACTACCAGAAAAATAAAAAGAAAAATAAAACGCAAAATAAATGACTTAGAGTTAAATGAAACAAAAACTAATGAAACAAGTGAAACTATTGTGAAACTACAATGCTATCAATCTTTAGATTCTATTATTACAAGTATAAAATGGAGATTTGAAAAATTGTCTAATATATCTTCGAATTTTTCATTTTTGTGTGGTCGAAATTTATCGTCTATGGAAATTGATGATATCAAAAAATGGTCAGATGATTTAGCGTTGTTATATAGTGTTGATTTAAATGGTGGTGAGTTATTTACTGAAGTTCAAAGTTTCAAGTTTCAAGCTTCTACATTAATATCATCATTTAAAACTGCAACCTCTTATGACTTTTTAAAATGCATACATCAACATTCTCTACAAGATGTATACCCAAATTTGGAAGTAGCATTAAGAATTTTTTTAACAATGCCCGTTACTACAGCTTCGTGCGAGAGAAGTTTTAGCAAGTTAAAACTTATAAAAAACTATCTCCGTTCCACCATGGGTCAAGAACGTCTATCAAATTTAGCTATACTTTCAATTGAACAAGAAATTGCATCTAAGATGGACTACACATCAATTATCGAGGAATTTGCTTCCAAAAAAGCCAGTAAAGTCAATATTTTTTAATTATATACGTTATACTAAATTATACTTAATTTGCAGTATTATTTTATTTTATTTTATTTTACTTTTTTTTTTATATAACTTTTGGTTATGTTGTACTGTATTTTATAATTTGTCATAAAGTCATACCAAAGTAGGTAATACAAATATAGATTAATTTTGTTATTATTATTTTTATTATGCATTTGAAACATTCTTAAAATTTTGTTATGTCAACTATTAAAATAATAAACTTGAACTTTAAATTAAACGTTAATTATGATTATAGAATATTGATGGATAAATTAACATTTTTTTTTTTTTTTTTGAAGAGGGGGGGCGCAAATTTTTGCTTTGCCAGAAGCGCCGCTATGGGTCAGCCCGGCCCTGCTATTATTATGTTATAATATTATTATAATTATTAGGTAATAAAGAAATCGCATATCTAATTAATATACAAATTAATAATGCTTACCATAACTCTCTTGTTCTTTGTTTGAAAATGTATCCCAATTTTTAAATACAGCACTGGCTACATTTATCCAGGCCTTTGTTTTGTAATGTTTGTCCATATAGTTTATACTATTTATGTTCCATAGACTTTCTTCTTTTTCCACTTCATTTATTAGAACATCAATGTCAATCATATTGATATATTTCAATTGATTAATTTTTTTTAAAAAAAAATTATATCACCGACAATTTTTTCTAATTAAAAAAAACTAATAAACAAAAACAAAAAAAATTGGTATTGCAACGCGTTGTAACCGGTGTAGTATGTCGCATGCCGTATAAAACCGTGTGTTAGGCTGGCAACACACGGGCGTTATTTTACCGCGCGTCATTTTTACCGCGCCGTATTTTTACGGCGCGTTTTGTTAAAATGCATTAAAATGAATAGAGCACAACACACGAGTGTCGCGCCGTAAAAATAAGGCGCGTCATTTCAAAAACTGTCGCGTGCACCTTGACTATACCGTGCGTTAAAAATAGCGCGCGATAAGTATTTTCCGTTCATATGCACTAAAATAAATGAGCGGCATCACATGGGCCGTAATAATCGCGCGATAATTAAATAGTTTGTCATTTGCATATTGTTGATCGTAGTAGTCGTACTTGTGCTTGTGATGTTCAACATGTCTTCAACAGATGAAGAAATTCAGGTTCTTGACGAAGATATTTT